TACCATGCAAAAGACAGTTGACACTTCAGCATCAACTTGAACGTACGTTTCAGTTAAAAGACTACTATATTCTTTGACAAAAAAAAAAAACTACTATGTAAAAAGAAAAATTGAAAATAGTTTAAGTGGTTGAGTGAATAACACACACACAGAGGAGTGTGTACTATATCTATTATTAAATAGAAATCAAAAGCATATACTGCATGTAGTTGTATTGAAGCGTCTCTATTATATTGATATTTAGTCGGCGTGGCCTGCATATCGTTAGAATATCATTATCATTATCAACACTCAACATACACCAACAACTTGAGCATGTGGCATGTGAACAAAGCTGTCATTGGATGGTTGAGAGCTGTTGCTTCTATATATAAGTCACTTTACATAAGTTTTGGGAATGCTATTTGATATATATATATATATATACATATATTTTAAAAATACCCTTTGTAAATTTTCAAGGTATGTCTTTCATATATATTAAATGGAGGTAAAAGTAGAAATTTATTTAATTTAAGATCATTTTAATAAGGCAACTAACCTTTTTTTATTCCGTAGTTAAAAGTGACTTATATTTGATATCAGAAGAAGCAAATATATAAATATATACAACTTTTGTATGTATCCCTTCTAAAATCAAATATAAGACACTTGTTGAGATGTTTTGTTGGCCCAAAATATTAGACATGCTTTCAAAATATTTAGACATTATTTTGGTCATTTATTTTTTTTCTAAAATACCCCTTATTTAAATAAAGTATGAAAGAGATTTGAGATTCACAAATAGGAATGCCAATCATTAATAAAGGATAAATCTAAAAAATATTTTTTTCTATTCAAATTTAATTAGCTTAGCTATTTAAATAATTAATTTCATTAGTTTGTGTGTGTCTTGTGCTTGAAACTAGAGAAAGTATATAAGTTTTGTTGGTCAAACAGAGGAAGAATTTATGAATCGTCGCCATTTGTTTAAGTTTTCAATAATAAACTGTATACCACAGCTAAATAAAGACACTGGTTTTAAGTGTGATATTCTAATTACAATTAGGCCACAATATTGGATGGAATATATTCAAGCAAGTAACTCCGACTACCTCATTGTACGATTAATTAGTTGCAGTTAAAACTGCAAACAGGTAAAAAAAAACTGCAACTAAAATTTGTGCATTTTTTAAAAAGTAAATTGAAAGTTTAGGTAAATTGAATTTCAATAGTTCATCAATGGCAGAGCAGATCTCACAGCTAAAAGTGTGTTTATAGATTTCCTTTGAGATTACTTACTAATAAAATCTTCACATCAAAATAAACACCTTATTTATCATATATGATATTTTAATATATGTTACTCACGTTTTGTCTACAAACTAATCTTATACAATCTCTCTTATGAGATAGGATATGCATTTTTAATGAATGTTATTCACTTTTTCTCTGCTAAATAATCTCATACAATTTCATTTTATTCTCCTATTTCTGCATATATTGAGATGTTAATTATAATTAATAAAATGAATAAAAGTTTGTATGTTCTCGTATTGAAAAGTTGGCATAAATCATGTAACAACATGGTTTACCTATTCATTGCACCTTTGTCTTCACTACTATTTCAACAAAAAGTAAGAACAAATCATTAAATGTATCACTCTTATCTTATGTACAATGTTGTTCCGGAGCTTTAAACATTTCTTATGTATGAAGAAAATGAAGAAAGAAGCTACGAAAGCAATAAAATTTTAACTAAATATTCTTTTGTTGAAATTTAATTCTTTCACGTTAATTTTCCTCTTAAAAATGTCATAAATTTTATCCTTTTTTTTAATATCAAAGTAGCAACCAGCCAAAAAAAAAAAGTAGTGCTAACAGAAAATTAAGAATCAAATTAAACAAAAATTGAATTTCATGTTTGAGTATATATCATAAATTTTTCAACAGCTTATCATATTTAGATATATATATATATATATATCACATATAGATTATAAAAAGTTATTTATTTACTATCCAAACATCTGGCCAATAAAAATATTTTGAATTGCTATAGAAAATAATAAAATTTTTATTATTATGCCAAACGGCACAACTTTTTAAAAATTTTTACCCCTGACAAACAACGCGGCTTTACTTTTTCAAAAATGCATCTTTACCCAAATCAGGGAGACGGTCAAGGGATCAAATTTTGAGATTAATGAGGAGGGAAAAAGGAATAGATATAATTAGAAACATCCCATCAATAAAGGAGTTAATTAAATGTATGTAACCAAAGGCCGATAGTAGGACAAAAGGGGAAATGCAATAAATTGAATTTTTTTTTACATATATTCAGAGAAATAATAATATAAAATTATACTATCTATGAAATTGATAATTTTTCTCTTTACAAAAACAATTATCCTTTTTCCTTTTTCTATCTTCGACGAATATTATGTGTGCGCTCGTGCGCATGTTGGTTGGAGTAAGCAAGCATGAAAATAAATTTAGAGGGAAACCCTAATGTGTTTGGTAATTTGTTGGGAGGGGAGGGTTGTCTAAAACTAGGGTTTATGTATATTTACCCTAATCAGGGAGATGATGTTGAGGGGAAAAGCAATAGGCATCAGAAACATCTTATCATAAAAGGAATCAGAGCCTCAAAGTGGGACCAAAGTGGGACCAAATGCATAGGGAAAAAAAAAATAATGAAACAGAAACCCTAATAATAAATCAGATTTTTTGTTTTTAAAATCATGCAGTCATATGTTAAAAAATAATGACATAAGTTATATTATTGATTTTTGTTATGAATATATATTATATGCAGTGATTTAATTAATTGGTGGTGATTGAAAGCAAACCCTATATAATTAATTAACGTATTTGGTAAAGGCAAGGGAACAAGACTAGAAAAAGGGTTTTATGGACAACCACCAGATAGACACAGGGGCCTTAATCAGTGTGGAAGATTGAAGCGTGATTGAGCAAAATAACAAAAGCAAAACCATGTGATTCTTATCCACTAGTTGCCTTAGCCTACACACACATGAACGCTACTTAAAGGTGCATGCGTGGTCCTTCTGCTTCCATTTGGGTGTGTGAGAGCATATGTCATTGTTTGTCAACTAAATGCTCCAGAGCTTAAGACAAAAATTGCAGGACAACTGATTCCACCAACCTCTTCCCTTACTTTCCTCTCTTTTTTTCTTCTTTAGTTACAGTCCGTTAGTTTTATTAATTATAGCTACTTTGTTCAATAATGTTTGAATACTGATTAATGAGAAATAATTAAGTTGGCTGTATAAAGTGGACGAAGAAGTAATTAATAGTCTCAAATCACATGGGGACGGGATCTTTAATAGATGTTTGGGGTAAGATTAAATTAAATCAAATTGGTCAAATGTGAGCCCAAAGGGCAAAAGTGTGTGTCTGAAGCTTTTTAGTGAACAGAAACGCTTCTATGGTTGAAGGACGATGTCTTCCCTCTATGTTCTAATAGACACTATGCATGTGACAGTTGCAGCGCATGAGAAGCAATAAATTTGTGTGTTTATTTTGGCGGGCCCAAGGTTTATGATTTAACTACTATAATGTTATTGTTTGTTAAAAAAAAATCCTTTAATTTCCGATGTTCAATTTTAATTGATAATCCATTTAAATTTTAATTGAAGTTTTATTTTTTTATCATATGCTATATGAACTGTTTGTATGTGGTTGGTATTCAATATAGCATCATATGGTAAAGAGTTATTTTATTCTAAAGATATTGTTTAGTGAATCACTCCCTCTACCCTTGAAAATATAGGAAGTTTTACCAGTTAGTGTTGGTCTAAAATAAAGAACAGTTGCATAAAATCAATAGCATTAAATCTTTCATTTACACAAAATATTTTAATTATTTGTATGGAGAGATTATATAAAAAATAAATTAAATATAATTAAGATAAAAGGTAGTCTTAATGTAGTAATAATTTTTTTTTTGTTACCGTTTTAATGATAGAAATCACTTTTAACTATTTTCTATAATTCGTGTGAAGTAAATAAAAATGTCCTTTATAAATTTTAGAGGGAGAGAATACTGAATATTTTATTGAAGCAATATGATGTTTGGTCAGTAGGAATTTGATATAATTTCTTATTATATTTCACGAGATTTAATACCTAAAGTAGTTGTTTAATAAAATGATATTATATCCTGGACCTAGAACATTACCGGTATAATAAAATTCTAATTTCAATAGGAAATTGCATTTTTCCGGCTTCCTTAATTTGTCTTTTATGTCTGTTTATATATATATATATATATATATATATATTATTTCTTTGGATTGAGGACAACATCATGTGAGGAAGGAAATTAAGAAATATGAGGTCAAACCATGCACATTTTTGGGTAAATTATATCTAGGACGTAAAGCAACAATTTTTTTTAAATAACCTTAAAAACTAATGATATTATTCTAGAATCAAAATTTTTATGAAGTTAATAACATTTATTACCATGTTTCAAAACTATCACCAGCTACAACACATTTTGAGAAATCAGGTTCTCATTTAAAATATTACTAATATTTTTTCTAAAATTTAATATCAAGTCTCATAATTAATAATTTTAATTCTAGATAATAATTACATTTTTTATTCTTTTTAGCGTACGTTTTTTAGATTTAAGTAATGAACTATACTTTCTCGTTGTCCACCTTTTCTTTTATTCTTCATTTTTGTGCATAATTATCTGATATCCTAAAGTCATATTTTAGCATTATACATTGAGCTCAATTAAGATAACTCTTTTAATATAATTATTTTGTATTTAAAAAAAATGAATTCATCAACATGACGTTACTCAGAGATAGCAAATCCTTTCTACTCTATCAAAACACAAAATCTCTCTCTCTCTCTCCATTGTTTTTTGTTATTCTCCATTTTTATGAATTATAACAAGCAGTGGTCCCCTTGAGATTAAATTATAACAAGTTCAACAATGTAAAACCTACAGAGTGATGGGGGGAGAGAGCGGGGAAGGAGTCAGTGTCAAAATAGCTGTAAGGGAAGAAAGGGAAGGACCAAACCCACCATTAAATACCAACTCTCTCTCTCTCTCTCTCTCTATGGCACAGTGTCACAGAATAAAAAGCCTTCTTAGGGATCCATCATCGTCGCCCTGAGAAGAGAAGAGATCAGAGAATCACGAGACGGCTTTATCTCTCTTTTCTCAATTTCTATGTTTCTTATCCCCTTCTGTCTGTTTTCCATTTATCTGATTTCCTCAAACGCCACCAAATATAGGATTCCTTCCTTCGTCCTCGCTGGTGATATTCTTCACTCAATTCACAACTTGTTGGTCTGAGAGCTTGAAGCTGCCAGCATGATCTGGTAATTAACCTGCCTGCCGCACTACTGCTTAATATCTATCTAAATCTATATAGTTAGTGGGAGAAAATTCTATATTCAATATTCGTTCCGACGGTGGATTTTAGAGTTTGTGTTCAAGAGGTACGTATATTTAGTTTCAATTCCTTCTAGAGATGAGTTAAGCCACATGGATTTCTGAAAATAAATGAGTTATTTTTTGTAAATCGAAAAGATTAATCAGTCAGCGAGAAGCTACACACCTATATATATACAGATCTCGTTAATGTCCTAGATTTGGTTCTTTCTGCTGGGGCATTCTGATTAACTGGGAAAGGATATAGCAAGCTTGAGCAAATGAGGATGCGATAATTCAAAATATTTAGAAGGATTTTAATAATTAAGTCGTATTGTTATCCACAATTACTGGGTATGAAAAAGAAAAGATAATTAAAGAAAATTAACGAGATAAATTAAAAATGATTCCAATGATATCTTTAATTTAAATAATCAAGGCTGTTAAATAATGATAATAAGAGTATACGGCAAATTACATCCACACCTTTAATTTCTCAATCCACAAACCAAATGATTTTTCCTTTGAAGTGGATTTTATAATTGATAGGCAAGCTAATTTCCTAGAATTAGATAAAGTTAAATCCTAATACGACCACTAATTGAAGAGAAAACTTGGTAATTATAAGAGATGAGGTTCCGTCATCAGGTCATCTTGCAGCTTCAATCACTCAAATACCAACAGATCCGTTTCTCAACTTCTGAGTTCATTCTCTGGGATTATTGCTCTCATGCCCTCAATTCATCAATTATCTGATAAGGTATACATTATCTTTCACATTTTCATGTTTTATTCTCTCCTTCTTAAATATTACGGTATTAAGCTAGATGACAATGTTATTATATATTAGATATCCTTTTGGAAATATAATTATATAGAAATGGAGGATGAAACTAGACACACATGGGTAGACACCAGACAGATATTGACATTAATGATGGAAATTTGAAAATATATATGTAAGACAAAGTTAAAGGGTAGTTGCTATATTGAAGATTCCATGACTGCAAACGGATTTGTCTGTACATGCATGTGTGGTTAGGTGAATTTGAAAGTGTTCTGTCCTGAAGAAATAATATAGTAATTTCTTATTTATTACTATTATTTAATGTTTTTAAGCGCAATAAATACTCTCACTTGTGTCCGTTTCATCCACCTTTATTTTGCTTCTTTTGGGAACATTTATTGTGAGTCACATGATGATGAATCTGAAACATAAATAAGCAACGTTTATAGTAGGCACATGTTGATGTGGTCCAATTCAACATACTCAGCCTCCACACAACACACACACAAAAGTACATACTCTCACACACTGTTGAATTTACCATTCAGTACTGCTAAATTCATTTTCTTCATTCAGCATTTAGCCAACTAGAGTTTCAAACTCACTCACATAAATAGCCTAATTAAATCAGATCCAATTCTTTCTTCTTTCCTTTCTTCCTTTCGGCCTTAATTTTGGGTTAGGCCAGCTCGCACACAAGTTTTGACATTGCCATGCTTGTGCTGCATTTTGGTTAGACAAACTTTATTTTAATCCCTGCTGCGATATGTGTTGTGTTGTGCGCGCGTGTATGTATTTTACTTTCCATGCATTAATTTATTTTACTTCAATCTCTCTTTTAATTTGTTGTTACAACGTATTTATTAAAAATTAATGCTATAAATATATGTTGATCTATCTAGCAAAATATATATATATATATATATATATATTAGGGTTAGTATTATTTTTTGGAGAAAAATAGAGATTATAACAGTTAAAAACACTTTATGACCAAAAAAAAAAACTGTAAGAGACCTTTAAAATTGAGTAGCCAGTAAATTTAAAGAAAATTCTACGCAGACCAAAGTTAGGGATGCAAGTATCTGTCATAGACAAAATAATAATAATAATAATAATAATAATAATAATAATAATAATAAAATGAAGTTTCTCACTTCAATATATATATAGGTTTCATGTTGTGTAGGCACAGATGCATGACTAAACCTTTATACTACACTTATCTTTCTCTTCTTTCCAGACAGATAATTACTTACATTTTTTAGAGTTTGTTTTTTCGACCAAACTCAACGTTAGATTTAATATTTTAAAGTGATGTGTCCATGCATAAGCAGGAGACGTACAGCTTCAAAAAATTTGCTTCAGACGCTTCTTCTTGTTTTCTCCCCTTCTAGCAACCATATAACTTGGGCTTGATTTTGAGAGATTTCAAAAAATTAAAAGTACATTGGCTTGTCATTATGAAAGGAAGGTCAACAATGGATACTGAGAGCATATTGTTTCCACTACTGATCTTCCATTAATTAAGAAGGAACATATATGGTTAGGATTCAAGTTAACCTGCATGTTTCTCATTATTACATGGAGTTTAAGAAATGAAATGCATTCTTCAAAGTTTCGAAATATATAGCGCGATTTCTTTTTTAGATTTTTTTAAATATTGTATTTGACCCCATTCTTCAAGAGAAGTATCTTTGCACTATCTTCTTTTCTCTTGTATCCAGTACAATTGTTCTGAAACAAACTAACAGAAAGAGGTTTGTCACTTACGTACCACCCTTGCCTCTTTGGTATCGTACTGCCTCAAGGCAGCAAGGTGTCACCTGCAAGATTGAAGAAGACAACGATGAGCAAGACAAGAAATGCAAAGAGATAAAAGGTACTGTGTAAAAAGTAGAAACTAATGTGGCATAGTCGTTGGTTAGTAAAAGAAAGTTGAAAATAAAGTCATGCAAAATGTTAATTAAGGCTTCATATATACGTTGTATGAGTATTATATATACGTTGATTTTCTTAACAGCTTTTTTTTTTCTAGATTTGCTGTGACATGTGTATTTTTTTGGGATAAAACACAAATATGTATATATGTTACTCTGTGAGATATATAGTTGGTTCATAGCATAATTTTATATTTTTTATCTCCTATTTCTTAGCTCTTAGCATTTATTTGATATTTAGTTAGGATCAATTGTAAACTATTTGATTTCATGGGCTTAATTGGAATTTACGTGACTTTTGGGTTTTATCTGAATTAATTATCCTATTCTTAAATATTATAAATGTCTCATCATTGATTTTATTTTAATATTTGGTGTAGAAAATAATAACTTCTAACGGGTTAAGAGGCCAAGGGGGTGAGGCATTAAATGGAAGGTCAAGATTTATTAAAAGGTGCAAGAGTGAATGATCTAATGGTGGAGTTTACCGGTTTGAAAAATTGATGATTCCAAAGTGAGAGCTAAAATATCTAAGGGCCAAGAAATTGTCCTGCAAATTCAAGTTGATCCAAGGGCGTAAATCAAACATGGCTTTGGGTTTAGGTGATAATTCATATATTTAATTGAAGATCATTTCAAGGATTCAAACAGAGCTAAGTTCTTGAGATTAATTCTTCTCTTTTGTCCTTTTTCTTAAGCATAATTCTCATTCTATTTGTGTATAATTGTGCCTAAGTGTAATTTTTCCATATATATGTTAGGGATATCTAATATGTGTGATTGAATGGAATTAACTCTTCAATTGATCAATTGTATATTCAATTTCATGTAATTTTTGGACTCTAGATTGAGTTGTGTGTTGATAATTTCTTAGACTTAAGTAACTTTCAATGGATGCAATTATATTTGTTGGAATGATTTTCTTATACAAATTCTTAAATTGCTGGAAAATGCATGAGATTGAACAATGTTGAGTTTCATTATGTGTTTGGAGTGCTAAATGGAAAATTTGGGTGGATTAGGATAGCTACACCATCAAGTGTTGATTGTTTCTTGAGAAGTTCTTATTTTCTTAACTAATTTTGAATTCTCCATATATTAAACCAAATTTTAAAGTAGTGCATTTTAGGTAGCTGCTGAATTGTTTCTTCATAAATCATCAACCATTAGTGTTGGTTTAGGTCCTTAGTGAATTCTAGCCTGCATGTTGCATCTTTTTAAATTGGTTCGTTAATTACCAAGTTGGCTCTTTGGAGATTCAAATTAACTTGCCACTCGCTATATAGTCGTTGTAATATAGAATTAATTTTGGTTCGAAGCTTAGGACACCGAATAATATATATTTTATAGTTCTATCTTTTTTTTTTTTGGGTCTTTTGGTCGTTAAGGTACATTTTACGCAATTAGTTGGAAGATTCTCAATTTTTTAGTATCTCTCACTTGGACATATGACTTTTTACATCACTTGTAGATGTGGCTTTATCTACATTACTATTGGGCGGAACTCAGTTTTAGATGTAATAAAAAGTTGGCTAATCTATGTTGTTCTTAAAAGAAACGTAGATAATAGTATCTGCGTCACTTTTCGACATAAAGTGACATAGGAAGTCAATAATAAAGTGATGTAGAGATACTATTATTTGCAAAAGTGACGTAGGAAATCTTTCTATCTCTATATATAATTATATATATGTGTGTGTATATATGTCATGCATATACGATGTATTGATATATTCTTCCTTACACTCATAAATCGAATCAATATCATAGCTAAAAAAAAGCTATATAGCTAATATATAAATGTTTTTAACTACTATATATTTTAGAAGCAAACATACACTACCAAAAAAATGATCTTATTTGACACTTAAAACTTGATGGTTAGATTAAAAAAAACATGCCATATAAGTTAAAGTGGAGGTGGGAGAAGAAATTATTTAACAATTATATGTAACATCCCGATTTAAATTTAAAAGTTAATTAGAATTAATAGAAATTAGGAAGAACATGTAAAGATAATTAAATTAATTAGGAGATGTTTATTGAGCTTAAATCTTGATATAATTTCAAGTTAATATTTTTAAAAAATATAAATAAAATAAAATGAATAAATAAACATGAAAATGAGACACAAAATAAAACAAAGACGGGAGGATAAAACAAAAAAATAGAAAGAGGATTGGCTTAATTAAAGTGCAAGTGTTTTGGCTTAGAGTACAAGGTGTAAGAGGATTGGCTTCAGGTACAAGTATTTTGGCTTAGAGTGCAAAGTGCAAGGGGATTGGCTTGGGAGTGTAAGGATTTTATCTTGGGGTGTAAGGATTTTGGCTTTAGGTGCAAGGTGCAATGGTATGTTTTGACTTAGAGCGTAAGGGTTCTAACTTAAGGTGGCATATTCTCTATATGTTTTTCTTTTAACATGGAATCAGTTTCACCTTACACATAATTTTTGCTTAGGCATGCTCACAAATCTCTTTATAGATTTGTTTTACATGGAATTAGTAGTCGTTTCCATGGAATTTAGGGGCATTAACAGTGGCATGCTTTTTGTGTATTTGATTTACATGGAATCCATTATATCTTACTTGTAATTTTTGCTCAAGCATGATCATGAATCTCTTTATATATTGTTTTACATGAAATTAGGGGTTGTTTTCATGGAATTTAGGGACACAAACAGTGGTGTGATCTTTGTGTGTTTGTTTAACATGAAATCTATTAGATCTTATGTGTAATTTTTGCTTAGGCATGTTCACGATGCTCTTCATAGATTGTTTTACATCAAATTAGTGGCCATTTACATGGAATTTAGGGATACTAACAGTAGCATGTTCTCTCTGTGTGTGTTTTACATGGATTCTATTAGATCTTACATGTAATTTTCACACATTAATTTACGTGTTCTCTGTATGTTAAAATTATATGTAATTGTTTATAATCATCATGAAATCTAGAGTTGCTGTCATGAGCTTGCACTATGTTTGTTAAAATTACATGTAATTATTTGTTATGTATATACTAACCTATAAATGATGCAAATTCAACAATATAACATGGAGGACAATTGAATTGTCCTTGAAAAACAAGTAAATGTGAAGAGTGAGAATGAACAAGAATAATTTTAATGAAGAAATATTCATTCCTATGGCTTTGGTCTATCTTCTTGCCAAGTACAAACAAAACTATAAACAAAGAGCATAGGGCACCTTATATTAAAAAATGTACCATAGGGGTAAGAACAATATCATTCTCATGTTAAATTATATCCTACCCTATATAAAAAAATAACTAAGGGAGATGGCTATAAGTACAATGTTGTCCAGCATGACTTGTTCATTGAATGGTGTTGAGTAGAAATTCCTAACAATCATATATTGTACACTTCTATAGCCTATAACAACAGGAAACAAATAAGTTAATCGAATAAAGTGTTTAGCAAACAATCTTCGCATAGATTGGAAAATGAGGAGGTGAATATATCAACCATTTCAACCAACGTTATACAAGGATGGAATTAGCTTGGGTACAAAATTCCATTAGTCTGAAAACACAAACTATAATAACACACAACTAACCTAAGACAACATTGAGTTCAAGATCATTCCTTCTTGTTTGAAACTGTAGATAACGTGAGATGAAAACTATAGTTCACATGAAAATTGCCTATTCAACCTATGTTAATTGTCAAAAATGGCTTCATTATCAATTTTGATAATTTAGTATACCTTACATCTATATATTGAAAATCAAATCATAAAATGCTTTTGTCGAAGATATAAATTTAGGACTTCATTATGGTGATATGAAACTAAAATTTTGATGTACCTTTAATTGTATCTAAATCTTACTCTGAATAAATTTTGTAGCCTTTTCCTCTAAAGACAAATTGGATGTAGAGTTGATGTTCACACAACTATTATTAGCAGAGTGAGTTAAAGAATCAATTTCTATTCCTTTAGATATATATTCACTTTCGGGTATAAGAATCAAGATCAAATAATTGTTCTAATAGAAAACTTTCAGTTAATAAAAATATTTCACTTTGCAAGCTTGTTCGTTCTAGTTCTTATTACTCTATTTGCAATCTCACAGATAAAACTATGATTTATTTCTTGTGGTTTCAAAGATATTCCTATAGGCATGTATGCTTGTCACTAAATCATTCATACATATCATGTTTGCACTAATTTGTAATACTCTCTTCAACAATCTCACTAGAGTTATATTTAGAAGTAGTGAAGCATGTTTTCTTAGTGCAGTTGTGACCAAAAGCATAAAATTAAGAAAACCAATTGTAGGAACAAAATGGTCAATCTCAATAGTTTTTATTTACATTATATTCTTTGACTTCAGAATCATTCATGCAACCTACCTAATTAAAATTCAACTATCCCAAACTCGCTAACATATAAAAGTTTAAACTCTTATCAACCTTGAATTATTTTCTATTGTTCCAAAGAAAGAAAACCTTAAGGATGGAATTGAAGAACAAAATTAAGAACTGAAACTATAGAGTGAGATGTACCTTGGAGCGAAGTAGTAGACATTTTAGTGAATGTTTTTGCAATTATGGGCTGTGATTAGTAGTAGGGAAGCAAAAAAGCTAAGAGATCATTGCAACCATCGTGATGTCATCAAAATTCAAGATCAAGCTTGTTGGTCTTAACAGTAGTGATGACAAATAGGGCAAGTACTCTTTTATTTAGCTAATCATGAAGATTTAGAATGGGATTTGAGGTAATGGACGAGGAGGTAGTGGAGGGAGGAGTTGGTAAAACATATTCTTTACACATATCTTCCCTTTTTCCTATTTAGCAATAGTATTCTTAAATCTAACATTTTGATGATAACTTTCATCCTTATGAGGAGTGAATGGGGAAAAACAAGAGGTTCCAAACCATCGATTTACTATCATCATCCCAAAGGGACTACATTTCCTAAAGTGATTAAGGTATGAGATGATAGACCTCCAAGGAAAAGTTTGCAAACATGAAAAAGAGACTACAAGGTTTAAGCATTTGAGGGAAAGCAATGGTGATGACTCTAGAGCTATTGACAAGATGAAATAGAACCATGCTAATTATTGGGTGTAAAAGCAGTGAAAGTCAAATGAAATTCACAATAAGCTTTGATAAAAGTATACTTATAGTTCTTGTTGATGACAATGAAGTAGAATAGCTAATTAAGTACAATAAAGAATCTGGACATGTATATATGGTGGAAAATGGAAATAACATCGCAGAAGCATCAATAGATGACCTAATTGACTACTAACATGGGTGAGTTGTGTTAATTGTTTTTATTAGTGTAGATAATGTTAAAATGTTGTACTATTAATGTGTTGTGATTGATATTTTCTATAGAATAGATAATTTATTAGGAGGTTAGAATGGAGGCTCTTTGTCTCTACATAGTTTGTATGTTGAGATTAAAGACTCACCATTGGCATGTGCTATATAAGTAGTGCCTACACTAATACGTGAAATGAATTCAATGAAATGTGTTTGTATGTAAAGGCCCAATTTATTCCAATATAGCAGCCTTTAGACAAATTTTATACAAGAATAGTATTTGCACAAGTTTTCATACAAGTTTTTGAAGAATACTATGAAAAAAAATTTATTGTGAAGTGCAAGGTTGAGGGTCATCCATGGAATATTACAACATATTCAATTGGGGAACATAATGAGTTTTTAAAGGCAAAAAAATTCAACAATGACCATTTCCACAATACATAGAACAACCTTATTGTTTCGCACCCATTAAGGTTAGATTTAACATCATTGATCATTATTTGTGCTTTAAGGTATACTATAGACAAAAGTACTAATGAAATTAGAAGAAA